AGAGAGAGAGAGAGAGAGAGAGAGAGAGAGAGAGAGAGAGAGAGAGAGAGAGAGAGAGAGGAGTTTTGCTGTGTGACCACCCTCGTGGCCAGTTTCGTGAATGGCAGAGTGTCGCAGCACTGTCGCTTCTTATTTGCTTCACCTTTGCAACCGTGCAACATAGCAAAATGGCAAACCGGGGGATTCAAAGCAAATGTGTCAAATTGTGCTACTTCGGCACCCATGCAGGAGTATCTCTTAGATTAGCAGACAACGAGCTGTCATTGCAGCGCCTTCTCACTCGGCCTTTTTTTTAACTTAATCCCGACAGGCTCATCCACGCATAGCCAAGAAAAAAATCAGATGCATGCAGGGAAGTCCTGGTGCGAGTTTGAACTAAGACTGCTCCTGGATGAGACCATCAGAATTAACAAAAGACGTAAGTACGTTCATGTCACTCTTGAGTATCGAACAAGCAAACAAGAACTCGCGCCGGCAAAGAAACTAGGCGCCGGGTTCGAAAATCCAATGAAAGTACCAACGGCCATGGTGTCAGGCCGGGTGTCATATTTATGGGGTCGGCCATGGTGTCAGATAGGGAAAGAAAAAAGGGCAAAAAATCCCAACGGATACTTTTCAACCCAAGTTGCCGTTTCGAAGTCGGCGCCTGTTTAGGCTGTTTTCTTTGTCGGCGCGTGTTTTCTTTGTCTTTGCGAACTCAAAACCTGCCTCGTCCGCCGTTATTTCTTAATAAAAACATGGTTATGGTTTGGACTTCCAACTTGTCACCCTTCACGCTTACAGGAAGGGAATCGCTCGAAAAGTACTGAAAGGATTTCCATGGCCGCTGGCTCATCAGTCCCTATCCCAGCTCCAGTCCCCATTCCGAGTCTCAGCGTCAGTCCTGGTCATGCCTACCATATTCCCAACTCCTAGGTATGTTAGTTGCAATAGGCTGCAGGTAGGAAGATTCCGGGGTACCGGCAGGGGTAGGAAAAATATGTAGAAGCAGGTTACCGGGTCCATAACAGGTAGAGAAAGTCTGGAGGGCGATGTCCAAGTACACGAAGTCCACTTGTAGAAGTCATGAACACATATTCACAGCATTATTTTGGGATACCGTGATGTGCACTGCTTCTTTGGCTGGTAGTAGATAGTCAAGAGTTCTTGGTGGCATAGCTAGGTTGAGAGCGAGGGAGAGTGAGAGGGAGAGAGGTACTTGAAGAGGCGAGACCTTGGACAGAGGGTGAGAAGGGGGGTTGACGGAGAGGCCAACCATACCTGAGAAAGCTTCCTGTCGACCAAAGCTGCACCTCTTGTACAAAAACAGTTCTATTCAATCGAGTTTGATTGGCAGATACTATCTTCGAGTTACATATTGCTTGTGCTTTTTTATGTGTGCTTGTATCATCTTGCATGACCATGGCGTGAAAGTGTCGTGCATGGTGGGTCTCAAAGTTATACCAAGAATGAATTGATGAACTGTCTGGTAAGAGTTTTGGAAAAAGTTTGACATCCAGCCAGTGACTATCAAGCTACACATGGGTTCAAAACCCAGTGGCCAGAACCCTGTTCACGAGTATTCTCTCGTGAACAGGCTTCTGGCTGCTACGGTGTTCCTCGTATGACTATGATTAGGAGTAGTGGTAGGTAGGTAGTGTGAGGTGAAATTGAGCAAAGAATGTAGCTTACTTAAAAAAAAAAGGAAAAAAAAAACAGTGGCTGCAGTGCAAGAATGTCTGAAACTGAATCCATCTAGCCAGAAATTGCACCCCAGTGACAACAATCACCTCAAAAATGACAAAAGAAATACATTGTCGTCCGGCTTTGCACAATGTCGCATACCATAATGGTGCAAACCAGAACAAGAACCAACCTCTCTCACATAGTACAGGATAGCGCAGCGGAAGGCTAGAATACCAATGATCAGACCGATCAATGTCGCATTGCAGACCAAACATACATCATCATCATCGCAAGCTGTGAAGGGGCCTGGCGCTACAGACAGGAGGAATGCGCCAGGCTCAGATCATACATAGATGAAGAGGAGGGGGATCAGACGAAGAGGAAGAAAGGGATGAGGATGCCATCAACACCAAGTCTTCGATATAGATCTCAAATCATCCCACATCCAATGTCGCTGTCCCAATGTCGAGTCAGAATCCAAATGTCGTCAAATCTCGAAGTTACAAATCTCTATCTCTCTTTCTCCCTCGTAGTCTGTCAAATAGCGAAATGTCAGGTAGTGAGCAGGTGAGGGAGAGATGGTGGACTGGAGGAGGAAGAAGAAGAAGAACTCTCTCTCTCTCTCAGTGCCAGGTACTAACCTGTGGAAGGTAGCGCCTTGTTGCAGGTACATCAAAGACGAAGCTGGAGCGATGGCGTCACAGGTAAGCTCCCAGGTAAGTCTCCCTGGCCTCCGCCACTCTCCTCCCTCTCCATGCTACTCTAAGGTCCTAGCAGCGCCCAGCGCTGAAGACTACTATCGTACTCTACTACTACTGCAGCGCTCCCTAAGAGTGCTGCTGCCGAATGTCCGAAGACTGCCTCCTGAGCTGCCTGTGCCCTCCCGGGCAGACCAGCACTATATAGCGCTGGTCCGGTTGGGAGGCTGCTCTTGCCAATGCCGAATCATGCCAGACTCTGGCGCCGAAATTCAAAAAAAGGTTGTCTTGAAACGGGCCTAAAAATGGCCTGTGCTTATCCCTGGTCTGGTGCCCAAGTTCCAGGAAAGGTCGACTTTAAGAGGGCCTAAAATTGGCCCTCCATTTTAGGCTGAAACGACACAGGGCCTGGAGGGCCCTTATTCCACCTGGTTGGGCCCTGCAGGCCTGTGTGGTGCGCAGTATGCCACACCCCCCCGTCCTTGAAAGACCGAACTTACCTACGAGGGCGAAGCTGCCTGTCGGAGGGAGGGACCAAAGTCCGGGTCGGAGGGGCAGGTTGTGAAGCTTCCTTAGCTAGTCTTCGTCGCTCGTAATCAGCGTAGATCAGCGGTGCAGATGCTTACAAATCTGCTCATGAAATCCAACTTGTATCGTCGCGGTTGCACCATTTGAATGAGACCTTATATTGCATCGGCTTGGTGTCGTACTTGCGGTGCGTGACAACGCGATCGATCTCCTGATGACCATCCATGGATGGAGGGTCCTGTGATCGTCGGTCCGGGAAGTCATCGTCGTTGGCTGGTGATGTCACCAGCTTCGAGCCGTGAAAGACTAGATGGACCAGCAGATGTGGAGGGATGTCGATCACGAAGGATGGGCCGCCGGGCTTGTCGCCTGCGGCTGAAAGGACGGTCCATGGTCCAAACCACTTGGGGAGTAGTTTGCGCGAAACATCCAGTTCGAGCGCAAACTCTTCCGCGGAGACCCAAACAAGGTCGCTGACGCGGATGGGACATGTTGACTTGCTGCTGCATGTGGACTTGAGCCTTGTGCATGTTCGCACGGGCTTGAGTCAGCAATTCCCTGTACTTCCGGATGGAGGCGGGAGAGCAAGCGGCGTCTATATCGGTAGTTCGTGGGAGGAGAAGGTCAGCGAAGATATGGCCTTTCCGGCCTCCGTGGTGCAACTCGAATGGAGTCACGCCGATCGTCGGATGCAACGAAGTGTTGTAGGCGAACTCGATGTCGGGGAGGCGGTCAACCCAATCCTTCTGATCCGGACAGATGAGCGCACGAAGCATCATTTGAGCAGTATGATGTGCTCTCTCCGTTTGCCCGTCCGTTTGTGGGTGCCGAGCCGAACTTGGTTTCATTTCGGTGTTGGACTCCGTCATGAGAGAAGTCCAAAATGCCGACATGAGCCGAGTGTCGCGGTCGCTACCGATATCTTCCAGTACGTCGTGGCTGCAAATCCAGCCGGTGTGCAAGAGGCGCACAAGTTCAGGAGCCGTGGTGTAGTATTTGCAAGGGAGAAGTCGCGCGTATTTACTCAATCGGTCAACGACTGTGAGGATGCCATCGTGCTCAAGGCGGTCGAGGGGAAATGTGTCGGTGACGTCCATAGCAATGGAGAGGCCGGGAACCCGCGGGATAGGCAACGGGCGCAAATCGCCGTAGGGACTGCGGTTACGGGGCTTGCTTCGTCGGCAAACTTCGTAAGAGTTGCAATACCGGGTGACATCGGTGATGACTTCGGGCCACCGGAATCGTTGCTGAAGTCGTGCGATAGTCCGATTGACTCTGAAATGACCAGCGAGTCGTGGGTCGTGGTACTCGCCGAGAAGGCAAGTCCGAAGACGACGGTCTCGTGGGACGCAGAGTAAGTCCTTGCCTCACGAGTGGAGAAACAAGTACCCGTCGACGATGCGATAATTGCTGGCCGGCGGGTGATCTGAAGATAGCTGCACATATAGCGTGGCGAAATCCGGATCGGACTGGTGGCCCCGAATGAAATGCCGTTGGAGTTCCTCGTCGAATGTGAAGGCGTGATTTGTCATAGCGCAAAGATCGGGTCTTCGCGAGAGTGCATCTGCTGCGCAATTGGAGAGGCCGGCGAGATGTTTCGGTGTGAAGTGAAATTGGTCGATGAAATACATACATCGTTTGATAATGTTGCGCACCGTATCTTGCGTCCTGTAGTAGGTCAACAGGTTGTTATCCGTAACCCATGTGAACCTACGACGCCCAAGGAGGAAGTGCCGCCATCGCTTGAGAGCCATCACGAACGCGAGCAGCTCCTTCTTCCTTGCATCATCCAGTGAGTTGATGGGAGGCACCTTGTGGCTGAAGTACTTCATGGGATGCCAGTTGTCGCTGTCGTGTTGTTCTAAGACTGCCCCAATACCATAGCTGGAGGTGTCGATTGTCACTCTCGTTGGCAAGGTGGGGTCGCAGATGCTAAGGACAGGTGCCATGAGCATAACCGTCTTGAGTGTTTGGAATGGCAGATGGCAATCAGAAGATGCCAACTTTCCAACTAGAAAAGTTCGACGACTACACGCAGCAGGATCCGACCCTCTGGTGGGAGGCATTCACGAYGCAACTCAGGATTCTGCCTGTCRCTAAGCACAAGWACATYGGCGCCCTGTTCCTGAACTCAAAGGGCGGATGCCAGACCTGGTTGACCCACCTGGCAACCTCCCACGGCGTCGACGTACCGGACCTCAAGGACAAGATCACATGGGAAGAATTGACACGGCTGTGGAAGAAGCGGTTCATCGTTGACGACGCGCCAGCACTTGCCATCAACCGACTGTTCGCCATGTCACAGGGCAACACAGCAACACGGGACTGGCTCACGGAGTGGCAGAAGATTGCGGCTGTGCCCAATCTGAACTTACCATTCGAGCATCTACGCCGTGAGTTCTACAACAGGTCCTGTGCTGCATTGAGCCAGGCTCTTGGTGATCGCGAGCAGTACTCAACCTTTGCTGAAATTATTGACAAAGCAAGGGAGATCATCAAGACCAACAGGTCAGCTGCATACGAGAAATCAACATCATGGCAGCCGACCTATGTGGAGAAGGTACGAACTGGTCCGCGACAGCAGCACTTCGCTGCAGTTCAACAGGACAGTGGAGATAACCCAGCAGCCACTCCAGCATTAAGTGACGGAGATCAGGTGGCTGCTGTCCAGCCGCGAAGCACCAACAAGTCCCGCAACAATGGGAAGGCGAAATCCGCATTGCAGGTCAGAAATGGACAGCCAGGACAGTTTCCATGGGTCAAGTTTGGCTTGACCGAGGCGGAGTACAAGGTCCGCGGCCGCTACGGCAGCTGCTATTGGTGCAACAACACCAAGCACAAAACCTCCCTGTGCCAAGATCAGGGCAAGGAGGATGTGCGACCCCGCCTCAGCTCGGGAAACTGAGCTCCGCGGAAGGTGAGGCGACTCCACCTTCTACTCCGCCAGATTCGGCCGCCTTGCTAGCGGCCTCCTGCACATCTGGGGAGGATGCGAATGTCGCAAGTCCTCGATATACTTACGAGGATTATGCTGTCCACTTGGTCCCACCGCTGGACCAACCGCTCCACCTGCAACAATCTACCGCATGCACGGTTTCATCACCATCGGCAACCGATTCGGCAGCTTCGCCGCTATCTATCGTCGGGGATTCATCGTCATGGTCAAGACTTGAGATGCTCGACCCACTGACGTTCACGGACTTCCAGTGGATGCCCGTTCCCCAGACCGGACGATTGCCGAAACCGCATTGCAATGTGCTCATGGCACAACTGCGAGATTACTTGCACACTGCAGTACCAACTCCGTTGATGGATGTCGGAGTAGAGGTTGTCGACCTTCACGCTTACATTGCGAAGATCGACCGCGAGTTCAAGACGCAACGGTACGACGACATCGACGCACCATTGCTATACGTACGCATTCAGATCGGAGAGGCGACCTGCAGTGCCTTGATCGATTGCGGAGCATCTCGCAACTACATCAGCCAGGACTTCATGGTACGCGTCGGCCTTGGCCCACGTGTCYGGAGGAAGTCCCAGCCTACGCAAGTCACTCTGGCAGACRGTCATACGCACAAGTCCATCGACCGCTGCATTGACGCCGTCCCAGTGTACTTTGCCCCTCACGCAAGTGAGGCGGTGTCCTTTGACATTCTGGACACCAAATTCGACATGATCTTGGGCATGTCATGGCTGCGAAGCAAGGATCACCCGGTGAACTTCTTCAACCGCACCGTTCACGTTCATGATCGGAACGGAGTATTAGTTCCATGCACGGTGCCTCTTCCTCACCCTTCGATCAGCTGCCACGTGGTATCCGCCGCAAGCATGCGAGCTTCCA